TATATATACATATATGCACAAGGGGAATAATTATGTGACGATCACTTCTCACAGTCATAGTGGGTCTCCTTCTAGCCATACATATATGTGCAACCGCAAGGCAGCCCAACCAAAACCCCAAGTCTTTGAACATAGCTGCAGTCACATCAAAAATCAGATAAGAGTCCACGCACTACGCGGAGTCAACTCCAACCAGTTCCTATATTCATACCCCTTGCTTTAGCCCACATACGTTGGCTGCCACGCTGACTTCTCGTGTGCAGCCGCCCCGTTGGTCTTGATGATCTCTCTTGCCTTGTCAATAATCTCGGCGAAAGTTGCATACTGCTCGCGATCACCAAGTGTCTGGCTCAATGCAGCGCATAACCTGTTGTAGAACTCATGGCGCAGATGCGGAAATGGTAAGTCAAGACCGGGCGTTGCCGCGATCTTCTGCCATTCCGTGAGCCAGTCATGTGTTCCAGTGCTGCCTTGAGTCATGGTGAAGAGACGGTTGATGGCGAGTGCAGGTGCGTCGTCGATGATGAACTTCTTCTTCCACAACCGTGTTAACTCTTCCCATGTGATCTTGTCCTTGAGATTTGCGACGTCGACGCTGTGGGTGGCTGCCAGGTGGGTTAACCAGATCTGGCATCCGCCCTTTGAGTTCATGAACAGGGCGCCGATGTACGCGTGCTTGGCGACAGGCAGAATCCAAAGTTGTGTTGTGAAAGCTTCCCACCAGAGCACCGGGTCCTGATGCGTGTAGCCGTCGAACTTCTCAAGTTGAAAAGTTGGCATCTTGTATTGCTTTGGATTGTTGCCATCCGTGTTCGTCGACTGCAGTTGCTGGAACTCGGTCTTCAAAGTATCCAGCTAATTGCTGATGGCGGTCGGCGCAGCAAAGGTGCTGATGTCGCCGAGCATTGCGACGACGTGGTCGACGCGTTGCTCCAGTTGGCGGTTAGAGGGTGCGCTGCTGGACTCACCAGCATCTGGTCCTGGTACAACTTGCTCCAGGTCCAGTACACGGGAATTGAGTGCCCGTGTAGCATCCTCGTGACTCTGCACTATCCGGCGAAGGTTCGCCAACTCCTAGTGCTGTGTCTTCAGATCCTGGTACCGTTGTTGCAGTTCCTGGTTCTTTCTCTCTAACTCGGACTGTTGGTAGTTGCAAGCGTACAACAACCGTGTCACGAGTTTGGAGAGAAACTCCTTATGCTGCTCTTCCGGTGTCGCGTCGTCGCCGTTGGGTTCAAAGTGCCAGAACTTGAGTCTTTGGATGCTGGCGGTTTCATGCCGCTGCAGCAGAACCTGGGCTTCCTTGCGGCGTGTCTGGGTATCTGCGTCTGCTTCGGCCTGTAGCCGCTGCTTCTCAACTGTTGCCGCTGCTTCAGCCTGTAGGCGGGCAGCCTCGGCTGCCAGCTGGCGTTGTTCCTCAGCCTCGATCAGAGCGAGTTGAGCCTGGAACCGCTGTTTGTAGTTGGCAAGAGACTCGTTGGCCAGTTGACCTGGCATGCCCAGAGTTGCGCCCGTCATGGTGGCGGGGCACTGCTGACGACGTGGCACTGCTGACGTGGCACTGCTGACGTGGCACTGTGTGACTTGGCACTGCTGACGTGGCACCGTTGCTGACGTGGCACTGTTGCTGACGTGGCACTGCTGACGTGGCACTGCTGACGTGGCACTGTTGCTGACGTGGCACTGCTGACGTGGCACTGTGTGACGTGGCACTGCTTGGCAATGCTGACGTGTCACTGTGTGACGTGGCACTGCTGACGTGGCTCTGTACTAACCCGGAAATGAATGCAAAGGGGTGGGTGGGAGGGAAAACGTAGGTAGGCAACCAACCCAACAATACTTTCCTCCGGCCCTAATCAACAGATAAAAAAATAATAAAAAAATAAAAGAGGATTACTTCCTTTTTTTTTTTTTTTATATCTGTTGATCTATTATGAGTGAGACATGTTAGAAGAGTACTATGAACGAGATCTAGGCTAGGTTTCGCAAAGTTTCGGTTTCACAAAATGCGATCTTGAAAAAGAATTTTTTTTTGCGAAATGGAGTAAAGATGCGATTTTCAGAAAAGAACGAAATCCCGTTTCTGAGAATATGACAACCTTCGAATATGCCTATCGAGATGTTGGTAGGCTTCGCAAGATTTCGGTTTTCAAAAAAAAAATTGCGAGATAGAATGAAAATTCGATTTTCAAAAAAGAATAATTTCAGTTTCCGAGAATATGACCACTTCTATCGTTATCCCAATATGCCTAGAGAACGAAATACTTACATCAGAAATATCAGAGAACGAAATGCTACTATCGATAATTTTCAGACAAAACGAAATGCGATTTATCAGAAATTTTCAGATATTTGTTACATAAAATTGAATACTAATATCAGAAATTTTCAGGTAAAACGAAATGCGAATATCAGAAATTTCAGATAGTTGTTGCGATAATTTTTTTCTTCTTGATATTTGACGAAGTCCTACTTGATTTACTAACGAGTAATCGATAGATCAAGCAAGCTGGCTATTTGATTGAGCGGGTCCTCTGAGTGAGAGGCCGGCTCCGATACCAAATCGTTGCATACTGTAATGTGCAGACCAGAACAAGAACCGACCTCTCAATACAAAGTACAAGATAGCACAGCGGAAGACTTAGATACCAATGATCCGAACAATCAATATTGCAATGYAGCCCTGAACATACATCATCATCATCGTTACATGGTGTGAATGGGGCCTGGCGCTTCACACAGGAAGACTGCGCCAGCCCCTACCATACACAGTCGAAGAAGAAGGGGGTTAGACGAAGAGGAGGGGAAGATGGGAATGTCGTCAACACCATGTCTTCGGCACAGGCCCAAATAGTCCCTCGTCGAAATGTCTGAATCCCAAATGTCAAGTGTGGATCCAATGTCGTCAAGTCCCAAGTCACAACTCTCTCTCTGTAGTAGTCCGCTGATACTGAGAAGTCAGGWGGTGAGAGGGGAAGAAGAGATGGTGGACTTAGAAGAAGAGGAAGAAGAACTCTCTCTCTCTCTCTCTCTCTCTCTCTCTCGCCACGTCCACCGACGCAGTGTGGACACTGGTGGAGAGGTTCTTCGCAATGTTCGAGGAAGGTAAGTTGTCAATTGGAGATGGCAAGATCTCGCTGGACATGTCAGGGAGGATGGAGGGCACCTGCCAGGCCCCTACACCGAGGAAAGCAAGAGACAAAGGACATTGTACCATTGCATATACGAAAGAGATGGTCCCAAAGGCTCCACTATGTCCTGGAAGGATTTGTGTCCTTCGTACTTCAAGAACTTCGGGGACATGACATGCCGCGAGAGAGAAGTCGCGCTACTCTTGCTTATGAAGGGGAAGGTGGTGGCAATGAACGTCAAAGCCACTCCTCCAAGAATGAACATTGAGTGTCTCCTTGACATCATGCGCAAAGAGAGATACATGGTTCGCATGTTCAAGTACGTTGTGTTCCGCGCCGAGGGAAGGGTGGATGAAGAATGGAATGACGACTTCTTCATGTCGTACAAGGACCTTGAAGAGAGGTATGCACCAAACGGGCTATGCGCAGTTGAATAGGAGAAGGAAAGGGAGAAGTTGCACAACAACAAAGTGAAGACGGTCCCTCGATGACTTGGAGGGGTGGAGGAGGCAAGGCAAGGTGCGGGTTTGGGGCCTACAAAAGTAATGTACAAGGAGACTTCGTTTGACTTCAAGGTGTTTATATACACCGTCATCGATAAACTCGATTTGCTTCGAGCGGAGGTGAAACGAATCACCTTCAGTGCACGTCATCTTGTCTGGGACAAACTCAGCAGGCAGACGACATTGCTTCGTGTATGCATGCAGACGAAGGAAGTATTGGCAGCGTCCGACGACATCGTTGCCTCCGCGCAAAAAATGGGATGCAGGACCGCCATCGTTGACATCTCGTCCACTAATTTCAGCAGTGCATGAACCTCTCATGACTTCGATGCGCTGTACACAATGATGACAAAGTGTTGTGGACAAAATCGGGTCGTCTTCTTCTTTGCACTGCAGAAGGTGCTAAGCGGTGTATTGCGCCACTTGTTCCGCTGGGAGGACGTTGAACTCATCCATGAAACCTGAAAATGGGTGGGCAGGCCATCAAATGACGTTACAAGGTACGGTAACATTGCTATGACGAGTCGGGACATGATGATCATTGTACTGCACATTGAAGGAGGGGATCTGAAAAAAGTCACTATCATACCCCGACTTCTCAATGACCTCACAGAAGTGCATGTTGTGGAGGAAAAGTTGGGGAAGTGTCGAGGAAAACGCAGTGGCATCGACGACGATGAAAGTGTTGCGTATTCAATATGAGAGCGAGAACCCAACAAGTTGTGTTCGTTGTGCAGTTCATTCGCCAGAGAGGCGGAAGGTCTTTTGCTGGGTAGAGCGCACGCAAGTCTTGTGTGGGAGTTATTGCGTGCAGGTAATAATGTTATTGCCTGTGACGAGTCGGCCAAGGACATTGCATACTTGACAAAGTTCATCGACATACTTGTCAAGGATAACAGATTTGACTGCCGACTCGAGAAACCGCGTTCCACATATCGCAACAACAGGGATATGTACCACAAGTTGGGACCGAAGAGACTGAAGGTATGGGAATACCTGTTCTGCGATGAGCCACAAGGACGTCTTGACGAAAATTATATATATAAGAAAACTAAGGCGACAGAGACCCTCAAACATTACCACGGTGCTCTGACTGGAGCGTTGTCGAGCGCATCGGTCCGGCACCGCACGCGGCGGCGCGGGACCCTCTCGGCCGCGTCACGCAGGAGTTGGACCAACCTCGACACGAACATGCAAATGGAGCTTCCTTAGGCCGCTCCGGCCGAGTGCGCCAGCCATACCTCTCGCGAGCCCCTACGACAGGATAGGACCTACGCGAGGCACAACTTACCTCCACCTTACGGGAGTTGTCACCTCCCTTTGGTGGGCGTATCCCCGCCGAGCTACCAGTCCACAGTACGAAAGCTATTCGGTTGCAATCGCAGTGGTGGACCAGCCGATGGCGTTTCTCGTTCGCTGTAGCATAGGGGGTACACGCGGTAATACGCCTATCGGACCCGCACGCGAACCGACATCTTGGGGGGCTGAAGTCCCAAGCGCGACTCGTCGTCGGTCGACTAGGACACATCCCACACACCATGCGCACACCACTTTACGAACACAAAAGTAAAACACACACACACACACACATCGAACAACGCGACAACACTCCTAGTCCCTTCAGTAGCCGTCCCATAACTTCCCGACGCGGAAATCGGATAGGTGTCGCACGCGAGACTTGGTATAAAACCGCGCGGACGCAGGGCTAACTCATTTCGACTCGCTATGCAAACGTGCGCAAGCGGTCGCAGTGATGGCGTACTATGTAGTACCCATACTCATGCGGTCCTCGTTAATCTCGAGGGTCGCATTCGACACTCAAGTGTCGGCTGACACGCGCCTTGAGGGTTAATCTCTCGACGCTGGACAATCGCCATGCGCGGTTGAAGACCACACACCCTCTTCTGCACTCTGTGCACAGTGGGTGGTACACAGGTCCATACTTGTGGTGGCAGTCGCCTCTTACCGCCCTGGAGATGAGTCCCACTCCGGGCCTGGGCGAAAGTCAAGGGGTTTGACTTTGACGGCTGCCACGGACTACAACGTCCAACCATACAAACTCTAAAATGCATGGGTAAAAAGGG